TTGTTGAACACACCCAGGGATGGGGACTGCACCACCTCCCCGGGCAGCCATTCCAGAACTAAAAAAATCTCTTCAAAATCCTACTTTTTATTTTCTAACTACTTATACATTTATTTTATCCAGACTACTAATCCCATCACTTTCTTCAATTATTACAAAAATACTCCAAGAAAAAATTCAACTATAGCATAAACTTTTTTCTTCAAATTTCATACTAAGTAATCAATCTCTCATTCAGATACACTTCCTCCACCTTCACACGTTCAGTGTCCAAATCCAAACTCATATTTATCTATATCTATCTATATCTATATCTATATCTATATCTATATCTATATCTATATCTATATCTATATCTATATCTATATCTATATTTATATCTATATCTATATCATCTATATCTATACCTATATCTATATCTATATCTATATCTATATCTATATCTATATCTATATCTATATCTATATCTATATCTATATCTATGTCTATGTCTATGTCTATATCTATATCTACTTTCAAATCTTTAAAAAAAGGTTTACTATATTAAAAAAAAATCCCAATCCTAAAAAAAGCCTTCAAGCAATTAAATTAGTAAATGTTTTAATTAGTTTTTAATCCAAAGTTTTTAGTCATAACTATTATTCTTTAAAATATTATTTTAAAACAATATTTAATATTTTAAAATAAGATTTAATATTTTAAGATAAGATTTATATTTGGAAATAATAGTTTCAATATTATTGAAATATTGTGCCCCCACCCATGAGCAGGGTCTGGAATTTTTGGCACGGTGGTGCAGAAATCCTCTCCCAGCCCTGTGTCCCCCCTGCTGCCCTGGCAGGCTCCAGCTGCTCCTGTCCCACCCAGCATCGTGATTTGGTGTTTATATTTTATAGTTTACTTATATATTTTTATACATCCATCCATCCATCCATCCATCCATCCATCCATCCATCCATCCATCCATCCATCCATCCATCTCTATATCTATAAAATATATCTATATTTCTTATAATAAAGTTAATTATATTTATTATAATAAAGTAATGATAAATATAAATAATAATTAAAAATAATTATTACATAATATAAGTAAATATTTTATATTCTATATATTGTTCATATTTTATATATTTTTGTTTATATTGTTCACATTATATTTATTTTCTATATTATATATTGTTTATATTTTAAATATAATGTATAAATATTTAATATTTATATATAATATATTTTATAAGAACATAGAAATATATGTGTATATATTATATATAAATATATATATTTTATATATATAATACATTAATATTAATAAATTAATAATTAATATAGTTAATAATGGTAAATAATTATAAAAGAATTATTTTAAATTATTTAAATAATTATAAAAATTATTATAAAAATATTTTATATGTTACTTATATAATAAATATTTTAATATTTTATTTATAAATATATTAATAATAACAAAGTAATGATAAATATAAATTATAATAATTAAAAATAATACCATAAAATGTTTCCTATATTATTTCCTATTATATTTATATTATCCCCACAGCCACCAGCATCTCTCCATGGCTTGGCTCTCACCCATTCTCTTCTTCAATCTCACTCAGACCAGCACAGTTCAAAAGGCTTTTTCTTCACCCTTTAGTTTTCCTTGAGTTTAATTCCCTTCCCATCCTCTGTCCTTCCTCCCTTTCCATCTTTTCCACCCTCACCTTTCCCTCCTGGCCATGTCACATTTTAGGGAAGATGGGCAACCAGCACTGGCAGCAAGCGGCTCTCAGGGCATTTCCCCCTCTCTTCCATCCCATAAATATTTCAATTTATTTAGGTGCATCTTTACAAATTAACACACAACCATCTCAAAGGTGCCAGCAGCAAAGGCTGAGTAATTTCTAAGTTTATTTAGAATTTATTTCGTTTAGTTTAGCAGTACCCAGAGAGATTAACCTATTTGTTACACTGCATCTTTTCCAGCCCTTCACCTGCATGGTGAGCAGTGAATGATGCTCAGGGCAGGCACACACTGTCCCATCTCCATTCCACAAATCCCTGCTCTGGAGAGGAACCTTATGGGCTCCTGAAATGAAATTATTTTGAGTTTTTTACCCCTGTAAACCCTCTGGTACCTCCAAACCCACTGGCCAGCCAAGGTCTGGCTCTGCAGACACAGGGCAAACCCTGGGGTTTGGGTCTGGAGAGGTGCCAGAGCTGTTTCCATGCTGTGAAAGGAAAGAGCAAAGAAAGTATTAAAGCCAAGAAACCAAACCAGGCACTTTGCCCCTCATGGCATTTTCTACAGGAAACAAGAAGAAAAGCTGAAATCCACTGGCCTCAAACTTTCAGCCTGGAGAGATCCCATTCTGCACATGCATGCTGAGAAATTAAATGCATGCTGAGAAATGAAAGCAGTGTGAAGCCCTCCCTGCTGGACACCCGGAGCCTGGCTGGCTCTCTCCTGCTGTGCCAGGGCCACAGGGACTGTGCTGCAGCCCAGCATCCCCAGCACCAGGGCACCTCCTTGCAGCCCTTTGCTCTGAAATCCCAGAACCTGCTGGTGCAGGGAGCCAGAGCTCAGGGAACTCTCCACAAATGTGGGATGAAGTAATCACTGTTGAGGGGACCTGCGTTTTCACATGCTCGGCTGAGCAGGGGATTTACTCAGGGGCACAGCTGGAGCATGTGGCAGCAGCATCTCATTAGTGTCACAGACAATGCCCAGCCAGTCTAAGGCTGAAAATTAGGGTTAATTTTCCCTATATAGATTTGTTGTAAGAGTTTAGGGAGCCACAACACAGCTGAGTTTAGATTTATTGTGGTAAAAGTCCCAGAACAGGTTCAATCACATTTGAAATAGCTGGGAAGGGCAAGGAGGAGCAGCTAGCCTGTGCTACTCTCCCCCCTTCTCTTTTCAAACATTCCATCCCACAGAAAAAGGAGAAGTCCCAAAAGGATGGCTATTCCTGCTCTGGGATGCACAAGGTCACCAAACACAACCTTTCTCCTCCAAGCCAGCAGCAGGACCAGCAAAGCAGCCAAACACATTCCCCTGAGAAGTCTGGATGTGCCATGGAAATATATCCTGAAGGGAGGAGTAAGACAACGTAAAAGGTTACAGAGTTTAAGCACCAAGAGGGAGGAACAAGGTTATATAAAGTTTTACAGGTCAGGACAAAGACCTCAAATATATTAAAGAAAATAAACAGAGGGATGAAGTCAGCCACACACGAGCGCCAAGGCTGGCTTGGGCTCTTCAAGCAGTTCTGGGGTTGACTGCGAGTTTTTGAGGAACAAATCCAGGGTTACCCAAACTGAAGGAGATCCAGGGTTACCCAAACTGAAGGAGATCCTACAGGGAGATGAGGGGCTGGAGACAGCTACCAGGCAAAGAGCTCCTGACACACACAGTGTGGGAGTCACTCATGAATAGTCACTGAAATTAAAGCTACACCTGTGTTAAACACCCAGTTTCAGACTGAACTGAACTCTCTAAGAGCAAGAAGCATGTGGGAATGAGAAAAATCCCCTTTATCCAGGAGATCTCCCTCTGGAGAGTGAAGCTGGAGTAGAATCCCAACTCCCTGCATCCCTGGAGCAGCCCACACCTTCTCCTTGCTGGAGAAGAGCATTGCTGGCAGTGCTGAGGAGCAGCAGCCCAGCTGTGGCACCGAGCCCCTGCCCTGGCACCCAAAACTGTGGGTGCCAATCCCTTTTTCAGGGACACAGCACCTTCCTGTCCCTTTGCACCGATGCCATCGCACTGCTCTCAGCGAGCAGCGCCCACTTCCTACCCGAGGAACGGGATTGAGGTGGGGGAAGCACAGATAATAAATACAGCTTCCCACACCCTAAAAAACTTCCTTCCCACTCCACTAAGTGTTTGCACATACCTCAGCTCTAATTTTAGGACAGAGCTTTAAGCCAGATGTGAGACTCTCCCTGAATCCTGGCTGCATTTGCAGAGACTCAGCCCTGCCAGCCCTGCACGGGGCCCAGCTTCTCCTTGGGAGACAACTGAGAGATGCTGCATTTGTATCCTGCATTATCCACTGCCAGACTGACAGTCTGGGACACAGAGGTATTTATTTCCTTGGTTTTATGTCCTAATGCAATAAATTCTTCTGAGGAGTTAATTCGGTACCATTCCAGCTCCTTCCTACCTCAAGGGGAAAGATGTATGGAGGAAATAAATTCCTGCCACATCCACCACTGTGTGCTCCAGTGCATTCCCACCGTAAGAATAAACCCAAGCAGTGATGATCCAGCACAAAATGAACACTTCATGCATTTTATTGAGTCTATTTAAATTTGCATTATAACACCTTACATAGGGAACAAACTCCTCCTAAGTGTTAGCTGGCAAACCTGGTCAAACTGTGTCCAACAACCTCTGAGTACCAGTTTGTATTAAACAAGTCTAGTATAAACAAATGTAAAGCACTGTTAAAAGAAAAAAAAAAAGTAAAAAATAATAAAGAAAAGTGTTACATTCACAGTGGAATTCAGGGCTTCCCAACCAACAGCCTTCCCAGCAGAATGAAATTCAGAAAGGGGCTCAAATATTCTAGCTAAAGGGAATAAAACCAGATATAAATCAAATAAATTCAATGTTATGTTTCCTCATAAGACAAAAGAGATACAGTCTATCTGAGAGGTTGGGAAGCCCTGGTATAACAGATGCAAACCTCTTTTTTTTAACACACCACCACTTATTTGCACTTTGGGTACGTTACCATTAATTGTGTCTCTTCAGCCTCCTGCTTGCCCCCCTAATCGAGGATAAACAAAAAGCCTACTGTACATAAGGGCTGGAAATATTTCTGAAGTTGTTATAAATTCCCTCCGTGTGGCTCCAAGCCAAGGTTCATGCAAAGCTCCTCCTCCTGGGAGAAGGCAGAGGAGCAGGCAGACATCCCCAGAGCAGGACAGAGCCTGCCTGGACACAGCGATCCCAAATGAGGGGTGACAACGAGGGATGGAGGCTCCTGCTGTGGTGTGGAGGTTCAGAACCCCCTCAGCCCTACGTGCGCCTCTCCTCACCCTGCATCATCCATCCATCCCCTCATTGTGCTGAGACCACTGGGTTGTGGGGACAACTCTTTATCCACCGGGGATCCATCGGGAAAGGGGCCCTTGGAGTCCCACATTTGCATAACCCAGACAAGTGACAGGAAACCGGGATGACACTCATTACGGGCCATTGTGCCAGCTCTGGTGGGAACCCCTTCGTCTGCAGGGCGACACAATGGACAATTAGGGTGGGTGTCGTGTCCTGCAGCTGCTTCCTACAAAAGGCCCTTCAAATTCCCTGATTTCTATGCACGAAGTACCTACACAATCAAACTGGTTTTAAAACAACTCAACTGCCCCCAAGTTCTCTGCAAAAAACCCAACTTGTTCGAAGGAAAAATCTGCACGTGAAAGGGAAATCCAATCAGCACCAGGAATTCAGACTTTTCACAGATAAAGCTCCCCCCACCCCAAAAAAATTAAAGTGAGCACCCACAAGTGTGTGTTTGTTCACAACGTGAATTAAAATATGAACTAACAGCAACTCGTAATGAATGTAATTATTAAAACTGCGTTTGCCACAAGGCTTTGGCCGGGTGACCGCTGCCATTGCTGTGGGGAGAGGTCTGCACTGTCAGAAAGGAATTCTGGGATGCACAAGGTCACCAAACACCACCTTTCTCCTGAAGCTCACGCACCACGGATTCCCAGCAGGAGTTTGGATATTTGAGAAAACACCCCATGTCGAAATGACAAGGAGAATCCTTCGGAACCAAGATAAAAGCTGCGGATCCGGCAAGGAGCGCCGCTGGTGCTGAGGGCAGGTCCCACACGGTGGCACTGTGACCCAGCCCACAGCGCACACGGCTCTGCCTCTCCAAAGCCACCATTCCCACAAATCAGCCCCAATTCGTGCCAAAACTCGCCCTTTTAACCCTTCACACCCCTCCAGGCACGAAGGAAGATGCTGAGTCCCTCCAGAAATATAAAAAAAATACTGAGGGAAGAGCTAAATACACATGCTCGCTATCAAAATAATTCATGAAATGTAAATTAGTCTAATTATGAAACTGTTTCACATTTTGTAAGCAACTGAAATGTTAATATTGGCTTTTCCTAACTCCAATCTAAATTTAGATAAATAGAAATTTAATTACCCTAATTAACTGAGCTACAGAAAGAAGTTTTTGCTGCAGACAATGAGCCCCCAGCCCCTTTAGCACACTCAGTGCTGTGAAAGGCAGAGAAACCATGGAGAACCATCAACACCTCTTAAACTGAGATTAAATTATTTGTTCTCGGTACCGTTTGGGAAACCTCCAATATTTTATTAGTTGCTCTTGTTACAGAAAGATAAAATGTTAAGACATGCCATAAGCTATAACAAAACTGTTGTTTTGGGGCAGTTTTACCAGGGTGGAAATTCCTGGAGAAGGTGGGGTGACAGGTACCACAGCCATGCTTTGTGTGGGGTTGGGAAATTGGGCTCCCTTCCTGGTGGCCACCAGCTCTGCTCTGAGATGAACATCTCTGACTTCCAACACCTAACGTGGTACTCATGTAGAGAGGGTTTTTTTTTCCCTTCTAATTCTATGCTCTATAAGTCTGGAAACTGCAAGGGAGAGCAAGTATTTGCTCTGTGAAATTCAGAAGTGTTATTCTGCTGTGAAGTTTTGGCACAGAGGAACCAGCACCCAGAATCAACAGCCAATTCCAATTTTACAGTGATGTGCATCCAAGGAAAAAGCCAAACCTGTGAGCTGACTGATTGTTCTGTTCCCAAAGAACCCTGGTGCCCCTCTGCCATGATGGGGTGTCCCACCAGGAGAAAAGACTCAACAGCCACTCAGGGCTTCCCACTGAAACAGCACAAAATGTACATGGAGAAAAAAAAAAAAAACAGAATTTTGGGATGCTATGGAATCCTGAACTAGCTGATGAGATGTTAAAATGGCTTAGAGCAGCAATTATAGTTTATGCACCCACCACTATAAAACAGCAAAAATGTGTTTTAATTAAGAAAAAAGAGATAGGCCAGCTTTGGTTTTGTCATCTGAGGAACAAACAACATTTCCCATCCAGCCAGCAAGAGCAGCTCATATCCCTTCAGCACTACTGCCCTGGAGTGGAAATAAATAAAAACCACTTTCCCACTGCACATGTAAGCCAGGAAAAACCCAAAACCTTGGAGAATAAAACAAAGAAGGGGTCAGTGGGGGTGAAGGATGTTTCCCCACACACACACTCCAATGAGAGTTGAGGCACATTCTCCAATTCTCAACTGCAACATGTCACATACATAATTTTAAAAGTAAATTCATTTTCATTCTGTCCAATAGGAATATAAAGAGCTTGTTGGGTTTTTACTGTTAGTCTCAAGAATCTCCTACACATTTAAGCGCACTCATTTTCAAATGTAACCCAATACTAATGATGTGCTTTCCAGTTATTCCCTGAGGCACCTGCACCACAGGCTACCAACACCAGACCACTCAACACATCCAGAGGTTACAGTACAGCTGAAGCTTGTGAAGAACTAAAAACCAACCTGTCCATACTTGTTTGATGAAGTTACAACACTGCCTCAACAATTGAGAGGAAAAGCTGATAGAAAAATTGGGCACAAACCTCAGTGAACAAGGCAGTACACACAGGTTTGTATTATTCCATATTTGCAACCATACCAAGAAATAACCAGCCATTAGAACAGTTTCTAATTTTTATCATCTTTTTTTTTTTTTGGTGGCATTACTGAGCCAAAACACTGCAACTATAACATTTAATTTCCGGTTTTTAAAATGCAATTAAATGTCTAATCCAACTGTTTTTATGTTACAGTAGCTGTTCACATAAATAGTACAGATATGCACTGCTCTTGACAGGTACACAGTCACAAAAGCAGCTCTCTCGTGTTCAGTTTGCTCTCTGTGTAGTGGGGGTTGTATGAAAAGCGTTCTTGATTTCTAAGCATGGTACAATTTTAATTCTTAATGCGTTAGTACAACAGTGCATTGGAAAAGTACTGAGCTTCTACAAAAAAGCTTTACAATTTTAAAACAGATTTTTTTTTCCTTTATTTAAACAAGCATAGGCAATTCTTATATTTCCACAACAAGATAAATATCCCAATTACGCTAACAGCTCATCCTACAGCGTGCCATAGTGATGGGGAAAGGGCTAACATTAGTGTTATTTACACAGACATGTCCAATATTAACCCAGGAGGAAAATTAAAAGTATGTTCAAATGTGCAATTAAATTAATATTATTTTTTCAGAGAGTTGGATTTCTTGCAAAAATTCCTCTATGACTCATGGACACTGAGCTGGGATAACTTCTCAAATAACTCCTCAGAAGCACAATCTTGAGGAAAAACTGTTTATTGGGCTGGGAAGGAGAAAGAACTTAATATCTTCACAAAGAAAAAAAATATTTTGAAGTGGGGAGATGTCTTTGGACAAGTGAAATTGAACACCCAAACCAACTAGAACTCGAAAAACCTAATTAAAGAAATTTTCCAATTCCCAAATCTTGAATCCAGAGAAAATGCTTTCAATGAGGGAAGATTCACTCCGAGTCATTACTATACATTGAGGTACCACTCAAAAAGTGGCCATAAAGGAAGTGACTTCTTTGCCCATCACTATCACACCGGCTGCCTGGCCATCACTCAGCTCTGCCTCAGACCACGCTCTCCCTGTTCCCAGAGGCCAGCACTGCCCTGCGGCAGATGGGGCAGGTGGAGTTCTCGGACAGCCAGCGGTCGATGCAGTGCACGTGGTACTCGTGCGAGCACGGCAGCTTGCGGAGCTTGTTGCCCTCCGTGTACTCGGTGATGCACACGCTGCAGGTTTTCAGAGCGTCGCTCTCACCAAAATTCCTCATGGCTAGGTTGTCAATTTGTTCTTTGGTGAGTCCTCTGGGTTGGTCATCGTCATCTTCGTTGAGTAAGAAAAACTGTGCAAGGCTAAGGAATGGTAGAGAACCGCTTTCTTCAAAAGTGACCGATCCCCTCATATTGCGGCCTTCCCGCCTGGCACCAGATGTTGAGCTGGCCTCGTGCCCACCCTCGTACACCTCCCCTGAGCTGACATCTGCATTCTCATTGCCCGAGGCGCCCCCGCCTCCGCTCTGCGGCTCCGCAGTCTCCAAGTGGTGAAAGGGAGTGGACCCACCAGAATCTGCACTGTTATCGCTGTACATGAAGTAGCTGAGCTCCCCGAAGCCCGTCATGATCTGCCTCAGCATGGTCTGGATGGCGACCGACGTGGTCTCGCTCAGGCCCGTGTTCAGGATCCTGCGGATGGGGATCCTGATGGTGCTGACGTAAGTTCTCACGCCGGCGCGCTCCGAGCGGGAGAAGGTGCGCCGGAAGCCGCCGCGCTCGCTCTCGTAGGTGACCGTGTTGTTGGGGGTCTGGGAGCGCGAGCGGGTCCTGTTGGCGATGCTGTCCCTCTGCCGGTACTCGCCCGGGCGAACTCTTCTCACCTGCAGGTCCAGCACTATGGTGGGAGGCCTCTGCCCAGGAGCCGTGGATTCGCTGGCACCAGTGCTTTCTGAAGAACCTGCCGCTTGAGGAGCAGGCCTCGTCTCAGGGGGGGCAAACAGAACTGCATTTTCACTTGGCACCTCAGTCCCCACTGTGTGCTGCCTTAACGTCACGTGCTGCCTGGTTCTAGAGCTGCCCTCAGCCTCGCCCGCTGAGGAGTGGTCAGGTGTTTGAGATGATGTGTTGTGATGAGACCTGCGAGGGGCCTCGCTCACTGCATTGATAGGTGACCTACTTCTATCAGTCCTAGCCCGCGTCCGCCGCTGCTCGGGACTCCTACTCCTGGCTCTCCTCTGCCCTCTAGGAGGGGAAGCCTCCTCAGCTGTCAGCTCCTCCGCACTGCTCCTTTCTGATCCAGGCTGCCTTACAGATGGTGATTCAGACCTTGGAATTTCAGAGTCACTTTGGCTGTTTTCCAAATCCTCCCCATTGGAAGGCTCTACAGATGGCTCATTCTCAGTTTCTGGATTCGTGTTCCCATTATTACGGTTGACATTTATTTCCAAACTGAATCTGAAGTCGCCGCTATTTGGGTTAGTCCGGCTCACTGCTCTCCAGGACTGGTTTCCTCGCTGCCCGCTCCGTGTCGTATTTCCAGTCTGTCGGACTGAATTAAGCCAGTCTATTATAGAATCTCCATTTGAAACATCTTCTGCAGACTCTGCACCTGTGGAAAAGACAGGGAACTACCAAAATTAGAGTACTGAGCTAATTTTGGAGCCATCTTTTCCAAGAACATAATTGCTTAGCTTAACAAGTGACAATTTAGAAGTGCTGAATCCTACCGAGTGCTACTGTGGTTTCACAGGCAGTGTGACAATTCTCTAACTACCAGAGCTCTTCTAAGGGAGCAGGAGTGGACATTGCTCTAATATGCACAGATAGGCTGCAGCCATCACAGAGCAAACAAGTCATCAAAAGAACATGTATTTTCTATCATAAGTAAATGGAAAGTCACATGTCAGGTGGCATAACACATCAATATTCTGTGTTTTCCTTTCCAAACAATTAAGTGATCAATTGACCATGAAACAGAGAATTAAGGTTGTTCTGAACCTTCACCTGCAGAGCTTTATAGCAAATCTGTCTCACTGAAGAATGAACCCCAGTGGTCAGGTCTGAGCATCCCCCACCAACCACTACAGAAGGGTGACAACAAAAGCAATGCAGCATCTTTGGAAGGGAAGAATTAAAAAAGAGGAATTGCCAAAAAGCATCCCAGAAGGGAGCAGACAGAAAGGCAATCTTAAAAAAAATGAAATAAAAAGAATGAAATAAACCTAAGCAAAACTTTATTTTGACAGAAGATATGTGATTATGAATGAAATCTGTCCCAAACTGACCTCTGCAGCAGATATCAGACATAAGGTTCACTGAGTTTTGAACCAAAGCTCACCTTGCACCTGCCTAGGCTTAACTTGTTCCACTCCTGCACTCAAGTTAAGGTCCGTGTGGGGTGCTAAAGTTAAGAGTTTTCACAAATACTGTATATACCTCTATTCTCATCACTGTTTTGCTGTGGCGGACCTTCTTTAACTTGGTGTAGCCTTCTCAGCAACTCTTCTTCAGTAATTTCACCTTAGAAAATAAGCAAAATTTTCCAAAAATATTTCCAAATCATATATGTATGGCAAGCATTATCAAAAGCTTCTAAAGAAGGTACAAGCCACTGCTTGTGTTCTGTCTAATTAATTCCTGCCATAATGGCACTGCCAAGCACAGTGCTAAGGGGAAGTTCAGACACTTTAGCACTGTTGTCCCAAGCAAGTTTTCCTGAAGCTGAAATACCCAACAGTTCCATCCTATTCAAGAGAGATTTGCTCTCTGGTTCTGTAACCTTGACAGCTGAGCAGCAATTTTTGTCATCCTACACCCATTAGGGTGTCCAGCATGAAATATTTGAGGTTAACACTTCCACGAGCAGGAACAGAAGGTTTAAATAACTTGAGTCATGATTTGAATTAGGTATCAACCTATGAAGAAGAAGTTTAGCATGTTGATTGAGAGCTGACATCAAAATGTCCATGCAGAATCTCATAGCAGACTACTTACCCTGGTTACAAACTCCAAACCTCACCTGCACAAAGTCTGCACACAGAGGCTTAAAGGAGATTTGTTGTCCATCTAAGGGTTCATAACTGGAACTGGGTCAAATCTGGGTGTTCCTGCCAAGCTGTGCAAACACCAGACTTTTGTATCTGATGAATCCACACCATCCTATGTCTCCACAAGTCAAGGGACCACTTGAATTTGAATGTGCACAAATTAGCCAGAAGCTACTTCCTACCACGGAACACAGCTGCACACACAGACGGGTGAAAGGGCTTCAGGGGCACAGAAAATGACACAAATTTCCTACAAGCAACTCTAGCAGGATGGACATAGCCAAGCATTACCTACCTGGTGTTCCTAGCAAATTGTTATCTCTCATAAGCCTGTAGTCCTCTTCACTCAGGTTGTTCACAAACTGATAGAAAGCCTCCTCTCGGTCTAACCGATCCAGCTGGCTCTGACGTTGGGCTTCTGACTGATCAATACTTCCTTTATCACCAGAATCTGAGCTTTCCATCTTGATGAGTAGAAGAGTACCTAAAAAAGGAGAGAACAAAGCCTTCATGAGAGCAGTGAAATACAGCATGGAATTTATGCATGTGAGTCCAGTACAAGAGTGAAGTACAGGTTAAACTGTTAATGAAGTTTTGGTTAGGATCAGGTTCATCACCACAAGGATCAAAAACAAAGCATGAACCTCCTCAAGAAGTACAAACAAAACTGATGCCCAAATACTCATCAAAGCAGCAAGATGAACACAGAATATCATCTGCCAAAAGCCTTAGAGCCCATCTTTGAATTCACATAGTAAGTGACCGTGATTATCTGCTTTTTGCATAAAATATTCCTGATATCACAACTGCCTCTCCAAGCAGCCTCACAGAAGTGTAGTACAAGGCACAAGCCATCCTTGATTGTGCTCTCTAAGCACAGGGTTAGGTGTTCCTTGCCTTTTCCTGCCTGCTACAGAAACATTCTCTTCACCATACTAGTGAATTTTAACAGAATGAAGTGGTTATGAACAACTCAAATAAAGAAGATGCTGTCGAACCCTGTGCACAAAAAAAAGGGACAGGTTCTCATTCCCTCAAAAAACAAAGAGAGTTTGTAAAATCAGCTTTATAGATTTACATCAAGAGAGGAATTTGCTTTCAAGTTTCAGCTTTTACTGAACTACTGATGTTGATGAGCAAATTTCCAAGACAAAACTTCAGCACATGCTACACTAGTGCTTTAAAGAGCTGTCTTCTAGGCTGCATATTTTAAAATATAATCTTCTCATATTGTTTTTCATTTGGATGAAATACTTGACAAAGTCTCTCTTTCAAGGAAAATAATCGATTAATGCTGTGTCTGTATCTGATAAATATTGTAAAGAACAATGCAAATGCAGGAGACATTCTGGCACTGGCTGTGCCATGCAAATGCATCAAATGAAGATAAAATAACCACTTTCCTTGATCACTCTGCCTCACTACTCACAGCACCAAGAATTTTCCTGTACAACTGGTAGAATCTAGTTACTCAGAGGTGATTAAGAAGCTAATCCTCTGCATGCTAAAAAGCTCTGCAATAACATTCCCCATCAGAAAACATTCCTTTCATTTAAACCATACTTCAAGTGACATGGAAATACTGGAAGAATAAAGCTTTTCTGCTTCTCACTGGAAAATTTCCAACACTTAGACATCTGTCTAGTGCAAAAAGCATCTTTTTTTGGTTTGTCAGCACAGCTGTCAAGTCAAGACTGCCCACAGTTTACATTAGTGCTTCTCCAGAAGAGCAGCACTGCAGGATCTCCACGGGCACTTTATTTCAGCTGCTATGGTGAAAATTAAAGTGCAGCACCAGAAAAATTCCACAGGATAGGACATCCCATTACTGCAGACTTGAAAATTATGAAACTGCTGTTCTGAGCCTCTTTGTCTTCAGTTCTGATGCAGCAAAACTTGAATTTAAGTTACTATCAGTAACTTATTGCCACTTGGGGCTACCGGTGCTGTTTGGGTCTGGGGAGTTCTGCCACTTTACCAAAGCTGTTACACCCTTTTTCAGCAATCAGGAAGCAGCAGCAATTCCCAGAGTCACTCCTGAGTCAGATGGGAGCCTATCAGCTTCCTGTGCATTTCTAAATCCCTGGAGCAATCTGAAAACTGCAGACTGGCATGTGACACGCGAGTGCTGTGACGTGCTGTTAAACACCGATAAATGACCCCGTTCACAGGACAGTTGAGCAATATTTCTGCAGGTGTGTTCACTCTGACCCAGCTCTTAGGAAATCCCTGTGCCCTTCGCATGCCAGGCACGTATTTCTAGTGAGAATACAACTTTTTTTACAAGCTTTCTGCAGCAGAATTATTACTTCAAGTATCATTATTTAAAGACACGCTGGAGAAGATACTTTTAAAAGCAGCTCTCACCGGTTCTGGTAATACCTGAATAAAAGTCTCAAGTAGAATGAGAGACTTGCATTCAAAATAAAACCTTGAAATGCATCAGTTCTTTGGGAATACACATCAAACTTGGAACCACGTGGAATGTCTTCAGAAAGATGGTAATATTAACACCTTTATAAGCATTAGACCAATTCTTCAACAGCTCTTAGAACAGGAAGATGCACTACACATACAAAACATAACATTTGTTTACTACTTATTTACTACTTTCCTTTTAACTGAAAATGCTTGCAGGCACCTTGGCTACCTAATGCCTACGTGATGCAAAGATATTTGCCTGTTCCATTTCAGAAAATGAAGGTGCACCATTCTTGGTCAGGGAAAAAGGGAGAGTCAAAACAAGTCAAATGAGGGGGGAATTTAAAATCTCTTCTTCACCAACAGGCTGATGTACAGTTCAATGGGTGATTCTTTAGGAAATGCTTGGGATAAGTCAGGTTTACTAATTGTCAGGTTTGCTCCTCTTTTCTCCTCCTTCATCTCTTATCTTCCCTCTTAAACCATAAAATCAGCTAATGGCCACGGCTGAATAGAGTTTACTGCTCAGAGGTGGGATGAATGAAGAATTTAATTTACACGAGGACTTTTCTGCCAGTGACAAATTGCTGTATTTTCCTATTGCAAGCTACTCACAGGTTACACCAGTCCCCTGTACCCGATTTCAGGATCCCAGAAATGCTGTGCATCTCTCTGGGATGTTTACACTGATGGAAATACAGATGGCACAGAAACACAGCAGCAACAACACATTCTCCCTACGTGACTGCAGACAGCAAATGGGATGACACACTTCAAAGCAGAGCTCTGATATTAAAACCAGCAAATGAAACCCAGGATTTCTATCCCAAGGCTTCTGCTGTTTTCTGTCTCCTCCCTGTGCCCTCAGCTCACTGTGCACATTGTCCAACACAAGCCTCACCTCCCAGGCTGCTGCAGAGCTCTCCATGGCCACACTGAACCTACTGGAATGTTTAGGCTGCTCCTGCCTCAGCACAGCTCCACAGAGCCCCTGTGGCTGGACAGCAGCATTTCCAGGGTGGGACTTACCATGGCCCTGCACACAGAGGCAGAAAGAACTTGAAATTCTGCCCCTCAGGATGCTGCTCTCAGCTCACACCCTGCAGGCAATTAAGACTGGCTGAAGGAAGCCAGTTAACACAGGGAAGGCTGATAAGGGAAATCCAACAGGTGTACAACAAAATAACCAACATTTGGCTATCTAATAAGCAAGCACAGTTCAACTCTGCTTTTCCTTCTTCCAGTGTAAGGCTTTGTTCTTATCCAAGCTAAAAGATTCAGAATTTCCTCCTTCAGTGTCCTTCCTTGTCAGCACTGAGTTGACACAGGGTGGGGAAGGTCAGAACTACGAGCAGGAAGTTCAGACCTGCTGGTTATTGCCAACTTCAGCTGAGATAGCCAGGTATGAAAATCTCCTTCCAGGGAAGTGAGGGGGTGACCACCTAAGGACTGCACAAAGCAAGAGAATCAGAGATAGGATAAACAATTTTCTCCTTGAGAAAAAACCCAAAAATTCTTCAGCAGCTTGAATATCCAGACAAGAGTAACTACAGTGAATTCTTAATTGGTGTTCCCATCCTGCCACAAATCAGAAAAGTATCTTCCCTGCAGTTATGCTTCAACAGCCTCAGATTTCCAAGCACAAATGACTGCCTGTCTCCCCACTGCTGCTCCAGACTGCAGTAAGCCCACAAAAGCTATTGTTTGTTACATTCTTCTAATTCAAGAGGAAGCAATACTGTGGGTTGTTTGACAGGGACAATCTAAGAGTACTGGATATTCCCTGAATAATACAAAGTTATCATTCTTACAGCGTAAGAAATATTTTGGTTTTTTTTTCATGCCAGGTTGTTTGTAAACTAAATCCAGTCAGGAATGTGCTACTGCCTCAAATCTGGAGGAACAGCAAGCAGGGATAACATCTGTGTCACCCATTTACCTTCAGCAGCAGCACAGCCTATCTCCATATTGCACTGCACTTGTGGACTACAGGATTCTTCCCAGAAAAAGCATTCATGGACCATAACACACAGTAATAAATCTCTAGTTCCTTCTCCTTCAAGAATGTCTAATATCTCCAGACATTAGTTACCTGAATTAAACACCAAGACACTACTTTAGCCTGCATCCCTGGTTTTTTTTACATTTAAAAGAAATCCCATAAAGCATTAGAGCTCTCATTAAAGCAACTGGCAGAACTTAGAAAATCTGACAAACCCTCAAATCACTAATTGGCAGGGTTAAATGAAGAAGCGACACCTTAAAATTCAAATTTTCATTAGATTTATGGGGCAATCCTCAAAGTTTTACAGGACAAGGCATGGAATTTAATTAAACTGAAGAAACAAGCCAGCTGCTCATGAGTCAGGTGTGCTAGAAGAAGTTCCTCCAGAACTCCCCCATGTCAGTGATACCGGTATTTCAACCTCACCTGAGACTCTCTTGTGCCCTGTGTGGCAGGAATGTTTCCTGAGTTACCTCACGTCCCAGCAACACAGTTAATACCTCTGGATAAACAAAAAAAAGAGGATGGCAGTGTGGGTGTTCCAGAGATGTCCTCAGCAGAAGGCCAACTTCTCATTTATGATTCATACCCTCATCTTAATTAGCCACTCCAACCGGTAGAGCACCTTGCTTGCAGTCTGATCAAACCTTGCACTGAAGGGGTGACTCAGGATGGAAGCCAGAAGCTCTGACTTGTTTGCTTTGTGTCCTCAGAGGCTGTTTCCCTGCCCAGGCTGCAGGAACATGCCTCACACACACTTCAGCTGCACAGAAGCAGAGCACAGCTGTGTGTCCAAGCTTTCCACGAACTGTGACTTCAGCAGCGCTGCCGTGCCCAGCCAGGCTCGCTCCAATTCCGTGTCTCAAATGACACAGGAACAGCCTTTAGAACAGGCAGTGTTCTTAGCCCAGCTCCTTCGAGCACAAACTGAACCCACTTCACACACAGCACTCATCCAACCCACTCCACCTCATTTTCCTAGAAGAATTCAAAGTTGAAAAACAGTTTCCATGCCAGTCAGTATCCAATTTCTCCATGCTCAAAACTAGCTGGAAGTA